TTTGTAAAAATAAATTCACTTGTTGATGAGTAAGGTTTTGTTTTACTTAAAAAGAATTTATATCAAGCTTTGCATTGCTTGATATAAATTCTATCAATGCTTTCATCACATTACACCAAGATGACAGTTGATAGTTGGAACAAAATTTTCAAGTGTATGTAACTTGCTATTGATTAATTTAAATGTAATTTAGGTAAAAAATAATATGTTTGATAAGTCCTTCACAATGCTGAATTAATTATTTAAGTAACTATTATCTTGTAGCCAGCATTGGAACAATCTATAAATGGGACCACCATTTTAGTGTGAAATGAGAAATTACACTGTGTTTTCTTGATTCTAGTGCACCATTGAATCTAATGTGCACTCGGTTTTTGAGATATCTAAATTTGAAAAAAGTTAGTGAATATAATGCTCTCCTTATATCAATAACATGCCACCATAATAAATGCTTTTTTAAATAACTTCTAGCTAACCAAATCTTGAATAAATATGATATTATTTAATTAAACATATTATTTTTGTTATGGATAAGCTGCATTTACATGTAGAATATTTTAATTATAAATGACTTTTAAACTCTTATTTTTCCTGATGAATAATATTGTGCATTCTAATTTTACTTGTGTGAGGATCTGAATCCAGACTTTGTGTGTTTACATCATTTGTTCATAACGTCACATCGTAACTATAAACTTGATAAATAACTATCAACTTTCACACCTGGGAGAAAAACATCTGTTGAGTTCTCAGGCCTGACAACGATGCTTTCTCATCACCTCTTGACCTAATATCTCGATTTCAACAGTTCAAAATATAGAACAGAACAAAAAAAGTAGGGGTGTCGTCACCAGTTCCTCGATTGGATCACAGGTTTTTCCTGTGCTAAAATATTCGGATAACCTCCTCGCCTAATATCTAGTTAACTAAGAACTGTGGAAATAAGAATTGTCGTCCAGAACTGTCTTCTTTTGTGTCCGACTGACTTGCAACAGATCAAGATTTCATACAAGATATTTATCGTCACGCGCAACTTCTGTAAACTCTCTCTCTCTCTCTTGGGAATCGCAAAAATGTCAATATCCCACATATATATATGTAATATCTATCAATCGTAGAAATGTATCTAAAAGCTAGCATATTTAAAATCGAAATGTTGTATGACCTATAATAACCCATTAAATAGTTGTTACGTTAACCCGTCTCTGCGTAAGTCCCTTTCGGTGCGTTGTCTCTCCCTCCATCCCGAATCTGTTTGCTCACACATGCGATCATTCGCGTGAGCACATAACAGTTTCTGTGTCTGTCTGTAAAGACACAGTAGTGTCAGTCCTGACGAAACTTGTCATTGTGATCTTTGCTGATATGATGTCGATCCTTTGGTCACGTGGTGCCGAAGTATAGGGAGGCCCTTCGGCATTGTCATACTTGTTTTTAAACAGAATACAGTAAAATAAAAATCTAGAGGTTGGCTAGAGGTAGAGGTTGGCTTAAATACATTAAATACTTTTTTAAAATATTTTTTGCTGAAATGGAGGTTCCTTTTTATAAGTTATGTAAATATATGGTAATTTTACTTCTGGTGTAATGACTTCTGGAAGACTGCATAGTGAAGGGGCATAGAGTGGCCAAACTGCAAGGCATCCATATGGTAATTTTAATTGTTACAGATAGTTTATAGAGAGACAAGTGGAATGCAATTAATAAATGCAGTAAAATCTATGTAAACCACAATCGCATAGTACAGAATATCCAATATGGAAGGTTTCTGTTTTGATGAACAGGTTTTGTAGTTTTTATTTATTTATTTTTAAATTTATAAACTACATTGTCACACTTTTATGTCTTTTTTTACAGTAAAATCACTATTACAAATATAATAATTTTTATTATTAGACTTAAACCAACTTAATCCAAGGTGATTCCATCTAAAGATGGGAGTATTAAAATGTAAAATTTAAAACCATTCAATGCAAAATGTTCTCCATATTTCCAACAACTTACGCTGATATTAGTGCTTCTTGGATACATCCCTTATTAGCTCACATGACAGTGTACAAGTCAATTACTAGTTTCAACAACTAGTGTCTTGCACTACTGTCAAAAATTCTTATTGCAGTACAATAATATAGAAACTAAGTTACTTTGTGTTAAGACTTCTCAAGGAATTTTAATACTTTGATTAATTGTTAACTACAATCTCTAATTATCAATATGTTAATCAACTTGTTTTTGAATACTCATACTAGTTTACTAACTTCTATATATAAGGCAAATTATCAGCATTGTGTTATCTTATTCTCATTGTTTTTATCAATTATATTTGTTGTCAAGAATGCTATTCTTGGAAACTCATTTGATTCTTTAATGTTCTTGATTCTGCCTCTGATTAAATTCAACAAAGATATTTGTCTATGAGTGGAATTTTAATTTTCTGTTTTATCCAGGTTAAGTTATGTTTTGCATACATAAAATCATCTTCTATTTCTGTGTTTGACAGATTGTTCAGATTTATAGTAGAATTTAACACAGAAAATTACTGTGTTCTGCAGAATTTTTTTCCTTTTAGGCAGGTTAGTGTTTTCAACAGATTTTACTGTGTATGAAGATTTATAATAAATAAATAAAATGTATTTACTTGACCCTCTAACTGGTGTGTAGAAATACAAAAATAAACAACTTTGTAAAAACAAACGTTTTCTGAACACCTTCCGTGTCCTTCCTCAGGTAAAATGGCTGGATTCCTTATTCTAAAACACCGTCACGCAATTTAAAAAAGAAAAATTTGAACGATGATTTGATTGTGCAATGTCCACTGCGCATGCGTTGTATCTGTCGTGTCCCCATCATTCAGAATCGCATTTACTCTTCTCTTACGTGTATGATGCACTATTTTTATTATGATCGTTACATGTCCTCATGCATCCTCCTACACCAACTAAATCCTTGGCAAGCCTTATTACATAATGATTACTAAGCTAACAAAAGAGCCATTTCTTCTCGGGAGTTAGTGCACGTAGATGTAGTGTGCGCCTTATATATTTCTATTGCTTCAAGCCATTTGAGGTGTTCTTCAGCTCCAGTTTCTTGGCTAACTTTGAACTAGATAAGTGTTTAAATGCTTATCTTGTTCAAAGTTAGCCAAGAAACTAGAGCTGAAGAACATCACAATGGATACCCTGGAAGTACCTAAATTATTTGCCTACACAAAGAAGGCCAACAATTTCGCCCGGTAGTTGATAAAGCTAACGTGCCTACCTGTAAATTGGAGAAAGCGATCCACAACATAATTAGGCTGCACTTAAGTGGATATCCATTCTCCATCTCCAATCCTGTGGAATTAATCAATCAATTAAAACCGATCACATGTGATTGCATCACGGTTTTAGATTGTTTAGTCGCTGCTTGACCGAAGTCTATCAAGCTGAGACAAAAAGAACGTATGTAGCCGGCTTACAAAATATATTGCTTTATTCAACACGGGTTTCGAGTTTACAACCGAGAGCTCGTACAAACTCTCAACAAAACCTACATTACAATACCACGTGTCCGAATACAAAACACTTAACCCCTTCACTCTCCCTTTTCAATTATTTTAGCATACACAGGCCGGACCTGTTACATTAACACGCGAAGAACAAATCCTTTTATCAGAATACTCACTAGGAGAATCCGGTACTTGAAAAACGGTCAGGTGTTGGACCAAAGTCTCTTCCTGTTCGGGAAATATATGTCCCCGTCGATGTATCGGGTAATATAGCTTCGTATATTGTAAAGTTCACTCGGTCCCCTTTTCGCACAACACGGATGCACTTGGATTTTGTCCCCTTCTACTCGGTAAGTCTCTCCTTCTCTCAATGACGTTGTATGACTTCTTTACCTTCGACGATCTACCACAGACGACAGGAACAAGAACCAAAAACTCACCTCGTCACATATGCCACTGCTATATATATCCCTGGGTTTCCAAACCCACCTGACCTCTTCGTTGGCCAATCACAAAGGTCCAGGTTCAACAAAGGGACATGGGTAGAGATTAAGGGGTACACGTGTCTCACAAACACAAAGAAGAACAAAAAAAAAA